GTACCTCCAAAAAAAAAAAAAAAAAAAAGCTATATAACCCAGAAGTTGTTTGTTTCTGCCCATGGAAATATGAATTGTAATTGTTCATGTAAGACCAAAATCCAATTTCTCTTACTCAGACTGCATAGCACATTACTCCACAAATAGTCCCTTTAAAGGCAAAGACACCAGTTGTGGAATAAGGCTCTATTAAGTATTAGCAAGTGGATCAGAAACTGGTTCTTACATTGACCCATATTATTGATTATGATTAACGTGAGGTTTAATTTAAAGGTGTTAATAACGCTAACAGATGCCTTTTTATCTACATTTTAGGAACAGATTCTGCCACTACTCATGTCGAGTAGTAATTACTATTTGTGTACCCCCATTGAGCTCAATAGGACTATTTGCAGAGTAAGGCACTCTTCAGCATGAGTAAGAGTAGCCCTTCATTTTTTTAATTTAATATATAGACTTCTATGGGTGATTAAGCTTCTCCAACTCAGAGGATGCTGCCAATCTCACCTCGAGTTTGTAGTGTTACCCCCAAATTAACTTGATGATCTGAACACAAATAATGGGGTATTTATGATTCAGTACTAGTTTCCAGTGATTGTTAAGGGACTGCTCCTATTGAAGTCAATGGCAAAACTCCTATTCCCTTCAATGGGCACAAGTTGGGGCCCTAGATCAGCATTCTGCTGTGAAATGTAAGTGCAGAAAAATCCCAAAAGGAATCATAACTATCTGCAAGCATTTCCTTTTACTAAAGGCCCAGAATACAATCACAGATAAATACATTCGTCCTCACTAATACATATCTCAATGTTGTACTTAAAACAGGCTCTCCAAGTTGTATGTACTGTTAATATCTGACATCTGTAGATTTTTTTTAACATGGGAGGAGACAGCATTTTGGAAGGTCTGACAAATTTTACAGCACGAGGGCTGGAGAGATACTGAAGAAATATATTTTTAATTTTCAATTTCACAAGGAGTGGCTTATATGGAGTGGAATACATTAGCATTTAAAAGCTTTTCCTTTTGCTTTTCTTTTACTATGCTGCTACCTAAAAAGAGAGGTTGTTTTCAAGATCACATCCCCTCAAAGAACTTGTCAAATGTGGTAGCAATTTATAATGCTATTTTGAGGACATGTAGATTTAATTAAATCAAATTATTACGGGGAGAGAGGGTTGATCAGTCAGTCTTGATTAACATCCCAATTTCTGATTTTATCATATAGGTTTTCATTTCCCTCTTCTTTAAATAACTCTGACCACAAATCAAAACCCCATGACTGAGTCTAGAGATTGAAGGGAGAGAACCTTTTAAAATTTGGAAACAGGGTGTACATATGAATTCAAGCTACTGAGCAGGGCTTGGGAATAGTTACTTATTGACTTGAAAACCTCCCACTCTTTCCAATATGTATATCATGTAACCCACCCACCACATCTAAAATCCTCTTTTCTTTCCTCACTTGAGAATTTTCCCATGCTAGTTTCATGTTTTCCAGAACCAGTCCCCTTTCACCACATATAAACTTGTGGAGGGAGTTGGCTTTTTGAGCTATACTACATTAGCATTTTTTTTAAATTAGACTCTGTCTGCTCTGGCCAGGAAAATCATGAGCCCAATCCTACTCCAATTGAAGTCTATGGGAGTTTTGACATTGTCTTTAATGGCAGAAGGATTGGAATTGATGCCAGCAGCTGCTATCTAACCAAACTTAAAAATAGCTCTTGCTAGCATGAAATTGCTAACATGGCTCCCTTTACCAGTGTACATAGAGATTAACCATGCTGTAAACTGGTTCAAAAAACCATTCTATAGTCTCATGTAAGTGGGAGCTAGTTGATGTTGGATGTGGCATCATTCATGCAAATAGTTTCTCTCCCCTACACTGTTTGCAATAAACAGAAGCTAAGCCGCAGTCTGAGAAGTCAATGGGACTACTGACATGAGCAAGGTTTCCAGGAGGTCTACATACACAATTGTAGAGTCTGAACTGAAGCCCATTGAAGTCAATGGGAAGCTTTTCACTAACTTCAATAAACTTTGGATCAGGCCTCCAGTGTTCCAGAATCCGAGTTGCCTCCTATTGAAATCAATAGTAATTTTGCCACTCACTTCAATGGATGCAAGATCAGGCACTTGGTTTGTTTAATTTGCAAAGAGAAATTATTTATGTATTATTTTTAGCATTGGCAATTAGTAACCCCTTAAAAAAAAAACTCCTGTGAAAAATTTAAATCAGAAAGCCTTGATATCTTATAGAATACTTTAGTGACAAATTTAGTGTTTACCTAATTGTTACAATTTTTACAAAGTTTTTTTTTTTTTTGTCAAACTGCAAACAAGTCTGTAAAAAATGCATTGTATAAAAAGTACATAAATGTATAACCCATTAGCTGTACTATGCAATCTAAATACTATGGAATAAATTAGATAGAAAACTTAGCTATAAGCACATACGTTGATATTTATTCAACAGAGGAATTTTTTTCCTTTTTTTAAATCTCAATTGATTCATACAAACGTAGGACACACACACACACACACACACACACACACACGGAGTTTTGGCTGACAAAAATGAAGGCCCTGATTACACTGCTTAAACACGGTTCTTGCCATAAAGGTGCTAACACACTGTATCCCTGGCCAATGTCGACAGGGCTTAATTGTGCTATAAAACTGTTTTTTTACAAACCGTGCTATCGCCAAGATGGGGAACCATATTCATGCTTTTCTAGCAAGAAGTGTTTTTTTAAGCACAGCTCACTAGGATGTTGCTAACATGGGGGCTTGGTCCTGCAAACCTTTACTCACACGGGTAAGAAATTGCAGCATCAGGCCTCATGGTTTCCAAACTCAGTGTAGACAAGGCCTTAAGGTTTCTCCCATTCCCTCTAACCTTTTTCCCTACCCAACAACAAATGTTTTTACTTCAGCATTCTTTTAAATATGACAGTGATAGAATTTTAAAAACCTATCTACCTATGCCCTACGGGTTGGACCCTTCAGGTTAGGTGTTGACACTGAAAATTAGGTCTTATAGTGCGCAAACTCATCAAGAGTCGCCAGACTGGAGAGCGGTGGTTGAGACAGCCAGTTAAAGACTGTATTTAAAATAGAAATAATACCATAGCTTTCATTTTGCTCTGTGTTCTACCAGGGTGATGGTGGGGAGGGCCCAAAGCTGCATGCAATATGACATCAGATCTTGCTAAGTGGTACACTGGAGCTTTAGATTTCTTGTTACGAGGGACTGTTTTAAATGTGTTCCTTTCCACGCAATAAAAAATAATCTTTTAATACACTGTGCTTTGCACACAACAATTCATTGCTTTAAGAACATTAGGGTGAAGCCTGAAGTGCTTATACCATGTGTATATATACGTATATATATATATCCCCCTTGTATGAAGTTGTTTTCCTACAATGTACAGCTGCTGTACATCAGGAAAAAGTCTTAGTGTCATGAATGTGAAAGAAGTAACAATTCTATCACAGATGGGCCTGAAATAGAATCTTGGACCCAAGCACCCCAGGACTTTCTAGGGGTTTGAAATCCACTGCTAAATCCAGATCGCAATGTTATGTTTTGGGCAATATTTCAGCCTGAATGTAATCAACCTAATTGTCCCCTTAATCTAAACCCTGACTTGTTACTTATGACCGGTACCAACCACAAACAGACTGTTTAGAGGCTCACATAAATGTCTTTGGTGTATGTGTCTATTCTTTTTAAGGTACAAAATAATAATAATTATTATAATATAAATAACTATTTTGTGTGCTGTAGCAGTTCTTGTATAGCCCACAATAAGTGCAGCTCTCAACCCCTCCTACTCCCAATCAACCTCCCTCGAATATACTTGTTAAATAAAGATTAGACAGGTCAAACACCATTGTAGTGCAAATAGTAAACGATTAAAAAATTTTTTTTTACAAAATATAGAAATGTTCGGCTCCAGTAACTGGACAAACATGTTCCTTTCAAGTATCTCTCATTGAAACAAAAAAAAAGTTACTTCCATTAAATAAAGTCTTTCTGTTTTTTTGTTTTTTTTTTTTTTTCCTTTCTCTCTCAGGTAAACAGTTTCAAACCAACCAGGTTGCATAGTTCTAATGTTGTAAGCACCTTAACGAAATGTAACTTTGTATTCTTTCTTTCATTCTTTTTCATTTTTTTCTTCTTTTTTGTTGTTGTTTTTTTTTGTGGGTTTTTTTTTGCAAATGTAGTGCAGAAGATGAAGGTGTGAACACCTGCGCAATATTGTCCCTTTACCAACATAAGTAAGTGTACGTATGTGTATATTTGTGTGTGTGTGCGCGTATGTATGTGTGTATTTGTGTGTGTGCTCGTGTAACACACGTGCACACACAGGCATATATATATATATATATATACACACACACACATACACACACACATATGGTACATACACTCTCATTATGTCCTTGGTAAATTGGGGGGAGGGGAGAGGGGAAAGTGCCAGTGAATGTAGTGTTCATACACATGGCTTTTCTAAGAATTTCAATGCCATTTTGGACTCAGAGTCCAAACTGCTGCAGGTTAGGCAAGCTGCTACCAGGGCTTGAACTGATGGGTAACTAGGAGAGGAAACACAATTCTCCTTGTAACGAATAATGTTTAACATACTATATAATAAAATATGGAACATATTGAAAGGAAGGGGAATCCCCCTCCCCACACTGCTATTCAAAAAATTTCTCATTCAAGCCCTGTTTGTTTATGCGCTCTTTTTCTTCCTTTGTCTGTCTTTAGTCTTTTTGAACTCCATGTGTTGTCTTTTTTTTTTTAATTGTTTCATTTGGAAAGATTAAACCATAGTCGGGTCTTTCCTCTACTGCAGCTTCTTTTCAATTTTCCACACAGACAGCAGGCCCTTGGTGTGAGTGTGTGTCTATGAGCAGCCACACTCCTCCACAATCATATTCTGAATGTCCTTCTTGATGATGTTCTGTCCATCGTCATAGTATAGCATGGACATTGGTCGTAGCTTGGTGGGCACACAACATGACTTGAGGTTGGAGAAGGGGCTGTGGCCCCTCATGCGGTAATGGTTGATGACCGTGGAGTGGAAGGATAATGATGAACCAGATGTGCCTGCTATGTGGCTGGGGCACTCACCTTCACAGTAGTTGGCATGGTAACCTGTGGGAGCAATGATCCAGTCACTCCATCCAATGTCCTTGAAGCTGACGAAGAACTGCTTCTTGCAGCAGATGTTGACCTTGCCGTCACACTCCAGGCCCCGTCTTCGTCGTCTGTGCAGGCGGTCATCTGAATGCCGGGCAAGCATCACTAGGAAAGGTCTGTGTGACTGCTCTTTCTCCTCTTCTACTGTGGATTCTCCAACTTCCTTCTCTTTCGCTTCCCCATCATCTTCTTTTTTCTTCTTCTTGCCCAGCAGCACCAGGCTGGCTCCAGTCTCCTGGCATAGGTCACAGGCAATCCGCACATCAAGGGAGCTCTTGCCTTGGTCCAACAGGTATTGCACACTACTGGAGACAGGAAAGATGTGCCAGGTACTTTTACGGGTGTCCACCGCCTTTTCAGAGATGAGAGTCTCACTTTTATCACCCTTCAGCCCTCCGTCCTCCATTTCTTCTGCCCCTTCAGATTTGCCTTTGGGCTGTCTCTGCTGTTGGTACAGTCGGATGGTCACTTTTGTTCTGCTTCGGTTGGCCTTGGAGACTTTCAAGAAGAGCCACACTTCAGCACGCTGCACTACCGAGAGGTCACTGCCTTCCTTGGAAATCTCAAAGTGCAGCATTTTTTTAGCCGAGCCTGAAGTTGATAAATAAAAACAGATGGGAAGAATCGGTTAGTATGTATTTTTCATTCCTTTGATAAGATTGTATTGTCACCAGAAGAATAAAATTCCCTAAGTTATGTTTCTATTTAATATTCTGAGTGTTCCCTACTGTGCCTTGCTAACTCCCTCTGTCTCCCACATCTCTTTGATGTTACCTTTTCCTGCAGTGGAAATTCTCTATTTACTGAAGTATTTGTTTTCCTATTTTTTTCTCATATAAAATTTTGTTATGGGAGCATTAATCATACACGTGAATTCATGCAGTGCATTTAATGGCAAGTGGGCATTACTTGGTGTGTAGGGGTTAATTTTGCTCGGCTTTCTCTTGTGATTGCTATTAACTGACAGGGAAAGTAATCGCTGTTTAAAAAAAAAGCCCATGAAAATATATAATACGCATACAAATCTGTGTCTAGTGATAAAAACTGGGGGGCTAGATCCATGTCCACAGAAGTCAATGGGGGATTTGGCAAAGGAAGCAGGATCTGGCCCATATAAATCATCATCATTCTTCATTAAGTTCTTACACCAAGGAAGTATATGCCAATAGTTTCAGAAACCTAGCAATACTTAAATATCACTCTTAGCATTCAGAGATTCACAGATCTATACATTTCAGGAATGGCTTAGTGTTTTGCAGCCAGACACTTAATCCTGTGAACTACTAGTTATAGATTCTGTTCTTAATTTAACATAGTGTGCCCGTTGTGATTATAGTAATGGCAAAGCCACCAATAAATGAGTTAAAGAACCTTCTGAAGAAGGTTCTCTGGCATAACTATATAAACTTGCTGGGATGCCAGTGATGATGATTATGCTGGGGAGAGGGAGTTTCTTTGATACAGATCTCATATCCCTGGCAGAAGTTAAAGTGAACGATGAGGGCTGTTTTATGGTTTGATCACTAAGCATGAAGAAGTTAAGAGAGAATGAATTGGCTGTTTTTTTTAAAAAAAGAAACAGAGATGGTTTGTGTCTAAGACTACGGCATTATGATTTGTAGGAAAGCTGGATTTTTTTTTTTTAGAGAAAGAGAAGACCAGCACCCTGGGGGTAAAGGGCTATATGTTTTCTTTCTGGGGCAGGATGGGCAAGCAGCAGATGTTTGGAATTTATAGATGTAAAACTTTAAAATGGATAGGGACAGATTCTGAAATCCTTATTCAAACTGCATCACACTTGTGGAGCAAGGTGTTGAGTGAGGTACTCTTTAATGCGAGTCAGGGTATCAAGGGCAACCAATGATCAAGACTGAAATGGTAGGACCAAAGCATCAAAAAGGTCACTTGAAAAGTGCTAGTGCATCAGCAAGGCTGTTGATCCTGGCTCTTCTTCATCAAAGAATTCCACAAACAATTATTAATTAGTTATCACAACGCCCCTCAGACGTATCCCCATTTCACAGATTGGGAATCTGAGACACAGTGTTTAAGTGATTTACCTAAGGCCACAGAGGAAACTCTGTGTGAGAACTCAAGATTTCCTGGCTCCTAAAACCCTGTCCACACTGCCTTCTAAGCTACCTGTTGCTTTCTTTTTTCTGTGAAGTCCTGATACAAATATATTCAGCTACTCCAGGTGGAATTCCCAGGTCAAAGAGACAGTAATTTCTAAATGAGAGTAGCCAGAGGGCACACTGTTTTATTTTTATTTTACTTCCCAGTGAGAGTATGAAATTGTGGACTTGAACTGTCCTTGGGACAGAAAAACACATGGATTGTTTCCCATCGACTTTGCTGATACCTGTCTCCAAAGGGGGTTAAATAGGTTCTCATGGAATTAAACAGGACTGTGGGGTAAATGTATTGCTTTCAGAGGTGTATCTTTTCTCACTTAAAATTAGTAAGAAGTTTTGGGAAAAGAGACCAGAGAGTTCTAGCGTGCCAATCCAAGCTGACAAAAGCTTTGAGATGTGAGGTTTTCTGAGAATGACCATCACTTGATAGTAATTACAAGGAAATGAGTTAACCCTTTTTGCTATTGCATGGCTGGTGCTCATGTTTCCATTCTGGCAGTAAACAAACTATGGCAAAGCTGTCTGCTTTATAAGTGCAGAAGGTTTTTGATACAGATGGGCATTAACCAAAACTCCATATATGCCAGAAATTTGAAAAAGTTCAGATCTGGACCCCAACTTTATAGCTTGCCCAGGTCTCTGTATTGGGCCAAACCAAAACCTAAATCAGAGCACCCCAAAACATGCAAGAGTTCTGGATCAGGAATTGAATTTTTGTGGCTTATTATGGTCTATTTCTCAAGAAGTATGATACACGTACCCCCTTTGTTACGCGCCTGAACTTCTGAGCAAAGCATTTAGAATAGTGTAACTATGCTGCAGGTTTGGATTTGGATCTGGATCTAGATATGAAACACGTCTAAATTCAAGGGAATTCAAATCTAGGCTATTGGTTCTAATGTATAATGAGAAAGGGGCTTTATAAAGAGAGTACTTATTAAAGGGTTACTTAATACTGTTAGGTGTCCAGGTGTAATATTTAACATTTCTGTTCTTAGCATTATAACGGGAGCTGATAATAATTATAAAGTGACATACTTCCATCTGTAAATAGCCACAGTTACCTTATATGTAGGCTGATGAGTAGTATGTGTAACAATTTAGTTATTCAGTTTGGACAGATGTTGCATGAAAGACACAAAATCTCTGGATCTTTTAAAATTAGTTTTTCATAAGTCCCCATATTTCTGAAAGTTGAATTAATTACTTAATGAAGTAATAAAAAAATGGACTAATACAGCATGAAGTATTTGAATAGACTTTCAATGCTTTTGCCTTACCTCACTTCTGAACGGCTGCTGCAAAGTAACATAAGATGAGTCTAATGCCATAACAGCATCACCAACATTATTCGACATGTTTTCATAAAGAACTATGGATTTAAATTCCAAGGAAAGAGGGAGATGCAAAAAAATCAAACTGTCCTAATGCTTCTGTATGAAAAAAAAAATTCTATGCAGTCCTCAAGCCCACATTATTTAGCAGAAAATTCTATAATGTTAAAAAAAAACACACCTTTTTTAGGTCTGTTTTTAGGAGGCCAGTATGGAACAAAGCTGGAGGGAAAATTAAAATAGTGGTGAGGAAAAATCAAAACTCTCTTGAATTCACCCCAAATCCCAAATCAACTAACTATGCTCTTTTGTAATCAGCTTCTGAGAAAGAACTAACAGTACAAATACTGAAGTCCTAACTTGGTTTGTACAAAGTCCCTCTTTCAGGTAAACTCTCATTGTAGTCAGTGAGAGTTTTGCCTGAGTAAAAGCTGAGTTAGACCTCAAGAATTGGCCCAATATGAATGAATGTTCACCATATTAGAGTCTTTATTTAAAAAAAGCCACATAAATATCCTAAGAGGAATCGCATCTCAAATGTTTTATGTTAGAGATTCTGCAGTCCCTTTTTCCCCAAGCGTTGCTCAGGGATTTAGCTTCAGTTAAACCTTGCGTAATGCGTAATGCTTTGGAAATGTACACTGCCTTTATATATAGTTGTCTAATGAAAAAGCATGCTGTAGTCTGTCTGATAACTGAAGGTGCAAAAGAGATCTCACTAAATGTTTTGGGTGGTATCATTTCATCACAAGCTCACAGCAATACTTTCGTTGTCCTCTTTTTGTATTTCCTTGTCTGCTGTGGCTGATTTTCAATGGACTTTTTCCATTTCTAATCATCCTGCTCCTCCTACCTGATTCATGTGGAAAGTCCCACAATCCAACACTGCTGACCACTTCATCCCTTCTGTGTGATACTGACAAAATATTGGATTGTGTTATCACAGGAGAAAGTGCTAGAGAAGGGAGACATGTGCTTATTCCAGAACCCCAGATCTGAGTGCCTCTCACCCCTTACTTAACAAAACATAGGGGATGTTTGTATCTGATTCCACATCTCTACTTCCCAGCTGTGGCCGGTCTCTGCCACAAAGAAGGTCCTGATTCTAAAGAGCAAACAGGAATCGTCTAGCAAAGTTAAATATGTTGGCAAAAGTTGTGGAGAAAAGTGAAAAATAAAAAATAATTTATGTTATGTAGTAAAAGCTTTTATAAGGAAGGAATTATTCAGTGGGAGGAAAATAGAACAACACTATTTGATATTTTAATGAGAGTTAGCTATCATCTTTTGCCCTTCAATATTGCTTGCACACAGGGCCGGCTCCAGGCACCAGCTTAACAAGCAGGTGCTTGGGGTGGCCAAGGGAGAGGGGCGGCACCTGCGGCAATTTGGGGGCGGCAGGTCCCTCACTCCCTCTAGGAGCGAAGGACCTGCCACTGAACTGCAGCTGCCGATCGCGGCTTTTTTTTTTTTTTTTTTTTTTTTCAATTTCCCCCCCCCGGGCGGGTTTGGGTTTTTTTTTTTTTTTTTTTTTTTTTGGGGGGGGGGAAA